GGGGGGGCGGTGGGGGGAAGGTTGAAAGTTTTTGGACAATTAAATTTAGCAAATATACAGCAAAAAGTACCATGCTGAGAATCACAATTTCCAAATAGAGTTCTGAATAGTTTAGTAGAGGAGCTGTCTGCTTCTATGGGCTGAAAGGAGGTCATAGCTGAGCAAGTCCTCATCTGCAAATAAATGGTACAGGTGTATAACAGATATGCACGCATACAGATCATCTGCCGTCTTCTTCACCATACAGGTCACCTACCAGTTACAGAACTGAAATTATTGCATTTTCTACTCTCGGAAGTTGCATCCGAATTGCTACGCTAAACTGCTGCTCTAGAAAAAAAATCGTGTTATTGGAATACATTGTTTTCATCAGGGTTAATTTTGAGTGGTTTAATTAAAGCTTTCAAGTCTTATGTTTGTCCATAATGAAGAAGAAAGAATAATTTAACTTGACTGAACAGTGTGAGCCTGATAAACATTAGTAGGATCAGACTAAAGAGGGTATTATTGTTGCTGCTGTGAGTAAGTGGAAATGATTTATTGTAATGTTTTAAAGATATTCATGTGCCTTATTTTACTTTTCTGCAGATTTTATTGACAGATCAAATATTTGGAAATCTCTACAAGGCATTTTTCTTTATAATTAAAGTATGGACAGGTGAAATCCAAATAATCTTAAAATGTCATGTGACACCAAAAAACAGTATAAGGCAGATCCAATTCTCTCTGGAAAATTGCACCAGAACTATGTTTTCCTTGCACTGAGAGTATTTATGCTTTCCTCCCCTCCATATCCTGTTGGTTTTTGGCTGACATTTTGAACTAATAAATTTACCAGCTTCCAATTTAGTTAAAAATAAATTTAAAAAAAAAAAATCAGTTCCCTAGTAGGTGAGTCCTGACTTGGTAAAACTCTAAAATAATTAGTCTTCTTTTGTCTTATCGCTGGCAGAGATGTAGTGAAGCCAATTGATTGTGTAGGGTGACAGCTTATCTGATGCAGTATTTGTGTGTGAACCTAACACATCGCTGTATTCTGTACTATATCTAAAGAGAGTTAAGGAAAACGAGTCCATACAAGCCCTACTCAAGACAGTGACGCAGAATTGATCAACCATGGAAAAAAGGTTCTTGCTGCTGTCTTAGCTGGCTTGTTCACACTACAGGGAGTCACAATATTTCAGGCACAGTATATGTGCACTAAGCTTTCTTGAGTATAGACAAAAATGTTCTGATGGGCAAAAGGTAAGAAATATCATGTCACCAAAACCGGACAGTTCCAGAATGTGTAGAAGGATTTGTACCATTTCTTTTATATTCCTTGCAGTAATTAGTGTGTCCCTGAACTGCTTACAGTCTGGCATATTAGCATAACCCAGCATTGGTTTCAATTTATATCGACATGCCAGTCTGTAAATCATGACAGCTGAGGTCTCTGGTTCATAATTTGGATTTAGCTGCAGCTGTGGAACTGTAACATCTCTATCCAACAGGAATCGTCAGCCAGAGTCTTGGCTTAAATAAATAAGGATTTTGTCAACTCTACTCGTCGGGGGTGTGGGGGTGCAGAGTTTGTAATCCGCAAGTCAGGAGAGTAGTATTTGGGACAAAGTACTGATGCTTCAGAAGGAAGCGAAAATTCTGTCACCGATTGCCATTAAATTTCTTTTCACCTAATAATTGTGATGTGTATAAATAACATGAAGGCTTTCAGCATTCTTCCAACATCCACTGTGGAAAAAAATTCAGGAAAATAATAGCCATGCTGCCTATTCTGAAGAGTCGGAGAGAATGGAGCATATTGTTACCATATCAGTATGTGTTCTTTTAAATCTTATTGGTGTGTCAGCCTTTTATTCTTTGAAATGGCTCAGAGTTCTTCTTTGCTGTTGTTTCCAAGTTGTATGTGATGGAAAATATGTATTTTGATGGAAAGCTACTATGACACTAACTTCTAAATCCATAGTAAAAACTTTTAGGGTGTATTAACCAATCTTTCAGCTACTCTTTTCTTTGGGTGAATGCCAGGAGAAAATCTTCTACACCAAGAACAATCTCATTAATTTTTTTATCAGAATCAGAACACGTTCTTTAGCTGATAACTGCTAATTTAATTTTAACTATTAGTATACATATTATAAACCGTTCTTAAGGATGCCAACTTGTAAGCCCCAGGTTTTTCCTTTCTTCTTTGCCTTTTCATCTCCTACAGTGCTGGCCGTGGGCTGTATGGAATTGATAGTATGCCAGACCTGCGTAGAAAGAAATCTTTTCCCATTGTTCGAGATGTGGTAAGTACCTTCGGATGCCGTGAAACTGTTGATTCATTTCTCAGTTGTCTAGATCTTTCTTATAATTTCTATTGTGCGTGTAAATAATAGTTTGACAACAATTGTTTTGTGGAAAAAAGGTGTCTTGAGAGAATGATTGGGGCGAGTAAAAGTCAATGATGCAGTTGTTATATGGTACCAGATAACTCTGAATATCTCATTGAATATTTGGATACTGTTTGTGGAATCAAGTAATGTGCATTTCCTTCCATAATAAACAACTCATTTTTGTACTGAATTAGCTTACAAGGACAGATGATGATGAGTGCTTGGGATACCTATCGAGTTGATTTGTTATGGTAGTGAAAAAGGCAGAAAGTTCCTGTTAAAAAACAAGCCTGTTTCAGTATGAGTGTTTTAAAGATTTACGCATGCTTTCAGTACAAGATGAGATATGCTATTTTAGCAGTCATTGTAGACAATAATAATCTAGGCAAATAAACTTCAGAAAGGTGAAAAGAATGGAAGTTCCTTTAAGATTAATTCTGACTTCCAGTCCTAACAAGATTTTACTTAATCTCTCTGCTCTGAAGAATTTTAATAGCCATTCATATTTCTCTTTTTTCCTGAAGTATAGAATTCATAATTTAATGAAATATATATATGTGTCTGGTGGTGGTGAACCCCTAAACCAATTTCTCATTGTAAAGAAATGATGGGGAGACAGCCCAAGTAAATGATTATTATAGTTGTCTTCAAAAGATCTACCTTTGCCAAATTATTGCTCAGTGTGTTCTCAGCTGCTCTGTTCAGTTACTCTACAGTGATAGACCATAACATCTGAATGGTCACGAATAGGAAGCTCAGCAATCATTTTAGAGTAGAATCCCTTCTGAAATCAGTGAAAAGTTGACATTTATGACATAGTGGAGCCTGCATTCATTGAAACCATCTTTTTTGCAGTAGCCAGTCCACTGTAAGTTGCATTACACGAGTATAATTTATAACATTATGACACTTTTATGCATACTAAATAGCACTTTGCTTTATTCTTAATTGTTGGAACTGCTTACAGACACATATAGATCAGAATGAGTTACAACATCAGAATCTTAATAGTAACTATACATTTAGAAAAACATAATTATTATCAAAGCAAAGCCAAAAAAAGAAAGCTCAGGTTTTGAATGGTGGAATAAAACTTTCATTACATTGTTCTAATGTGTCAGTGATGATTATGTAAGAATTACTACTTTACTGTCCAATCATTGAAGGATAACTCCTCTTGAAGGAGTTCTACCTTTAATAAATGTAAGTTGCAAGGTTTTAAAACTGAAATTTATTCTGAAATTTAATCATTATGGACTTACATGATAGCTCTTAACTATACGTTAACTATATACTACTCATATTTGTATGTGAAGGTATGTGCATTTTAAGCAACCGCTTGTGAGCTCTGAGCTTCTAATAGGTTGAATCTAAAGTAGCTCATTTAAATCATTAACTTAATTCTCAAGTCCTTGCATGATCTGATACATTGTAAATGATCTTTTTTATGATTATTTATATGACTTTCAGAAGGATAGAAATAATATTGCTAGAAATGAGTGCTAGGCTCTTTTGACAATGACTGAAATAGATGTAATATATTTTGTTGTTGTCGCAATAAATATGAAAAATTATTAATATTTTTTATAATTTCTTTTCTATCTCGCCCGATTTTTCAGGCTATGGTAAGTGTTTTTATACTGATAAGTATTCTAAAATATTCATAAAAATTCTTGGGGATTTCATGATTGTTACATTTTATGCTGATCTTTTATTAGAAAATAGAAAAGCAATATTATGACCAAGAATTAATCCTATGTGAAGTTGTCTTACGTGAGTATCTTGTCCTCTGCATCATATATGCCAAAATTATTAGAAAAAGCTTATGTTAAAAAGTTAACAATGTATTCCAAAAAGCCTTTCTGGTGATACAAGCAGGTTGTTTAGGACCTCAATATAAGGTTTATCAACATTATGTACATCTCCTTAAGGTGGTATTTTGGACCCCGTTTCTTTCCATAAGTTCACATTTTGAAAAATCCAGGTAGCAGCAGCCGCCTTACCAGTTCTCTTTCTCCTAAATCTCTGAGATTTAGGTTTTCCACTAATGCACTGGGACTCTGCTTTCCCTGCTTGTTTTTGTTCGAGTCATTAGAAGAGGATAAGGCAGTCAAAACCTACCTGCAGGAACAGTTCTTTGCTGCAGTCACGAGCTTCACTATGGGTCCCTATTAGAGTTCTAGTAGAATACACCTGCTGTATGAGGGAAAGACAATGAAAGGAAAAGTGATCCTTCAAGTGGAATAACAATACAGAAATTCCATGCCATTTCTGACTAACCTTAGTATTCAGAATGATCTTAGAGGCTGGACAGGGCATTCTCTTATGTCTGTGCTATGAAAACAAATAGGTAGAAATATTAAACAGTGTTACAGTGGTGTCCAGTAATGATTATATAGTTATGCTGAGTTTCCATTTCCTTTCTAAATCTGTTTTCTGAGCTCAGTACATCCGTTCTTGGAATATTTCAGGATCAGACATCAACTTTTTTAGTAGAAAAATTATGGGGAGTAAGTAATTTCAAACAGCTTGTTTCCTTTCAAGTGATTTCTTCCTCCTTCCTACCTCCTCCTCCCCCCAAGTTACAGTCTATCTTTCAAAAAAGTTAAGATCCCTAAAGTAATACATTGTCTGTAGTTGTTCAAAAAGAAACGGTTCTGAAATTGTGCAGCTTTTAAATGCTGACAACACTTCTTTGTCAGATTCGCCTCTTGTGGGTAACATTGACATTGCATTAAAAATATAACTATTTGTAAAGTAACAAATACTTTGCCTTCAACTTTTTTTTTTTTTCCTGGTGACAGCAGTCTGTAGGTCCTTTTAAAGAAAAAAAAATAGTGAAAGAAAAGATGATCAGGAAAACTGAAACTCTCTATAAAAAACAGAGGCATGAGTATTTCATGGCACAGCCAGCATTCACGAACAGTTGCAAAATGTTAGCTTGACTGCTTCTTCATCCCTGCCACCTCAGCTGCTCAAAACACAGCTTGCTTTCGTTTCATCATGGCAGGTGGCTCTTTTTTCACCCACACAATTTTTCATTTAACAATTAATTGTAGCTTGAGCCTAATTCTCTTTTAGTTATGGTTACAACTTTTCAGTGGTTTTGCTAGAACGATATCTAATTATATTAATTTGTTGATTTAAGCTGCTAAGGCAAATTTGGAGGTAATACATAAGACTGTAGAAACACATTATTAGGGGTGTCTATAAGGACTTGAGCACAAAGATGACAAGTTATTTTAAATGCTGTATCAAGGATTTGGAAAAACATTTAAAAATTAATAAGCAGTGTTCTGCTTTATCATTTTCTCTTAGTTTTTAGCTGCTTGGTTTTCTGTTTTGTTGTTTTAAATAAATATGTCCATATGTTTATGATGCAATGTTAGCTATATAGCAATACTTAGACTCTGCAGGTCAAATTCTCACATGAGGAAAGACATGAGGTAGTACCTGAATGTCATTTGACAGCAAGCCAAGTGTTCACTGCTGACCAAGTCTTGTGTCCTGTTAAAGGAGAGTGGTGTAAGGCTTCAGATTCCTGTTGCTCACCCTGTTCTTCTGGTGCTCTGACATTTTGGATTTCCTTCTTGGAGGGTCCAGATGAATAGCTGCACAGACCTTTCTTCTTTGCTGCTGTTAAGAAACAGATGGGCAGCAGGGGGAAAGTTTTCTTGCTCAATTCATAATCTGACACCTTAGTTCCCCTAAATGAGTCTGGCAGCACTTTTGCCTTCTGTTTTCCAAAATAGTCCTCTTTGCTTCGCCCCAGCCTTAAGAACAGACACTGTTCTGTGTTCAGTGCTTCAAGCTGTTGAATTGTCACCAACTACAGTATTTCAGAACAGAAACTTTTTATTTATGGACTTTCTCTTGAAGTTGCAGTTTATTCTGACAGTGATACATAAATGGAAATAATACTTGTGAGGGTTTTTTTCACCAAAACCCCTGTAAATTTAATCAATAGCAACTGTTAACTTTATGAAAAATCCCTCTAGATATCACTTTCTTCTGTTATCCTTTCAACATGACAAAGATTTTAGTAAGAATAGTCTAATTATCTGTTTCCTATCAGTCTTTGTTAGTTTATATAGGACTCTGTACTCTGATTTTAGACACATTTCTGATTAAGGAGAAAAATGGTTCAGCTACATGATTCCAGGAATAGCCCCTGGGAGAACTGGGCCTCAAGAACACATGACAGGGTCAAAATTGCTTCCCTACTTTGCTTTTTCTCACAGGAAATAGTATCTGTTTATTGACTTATACTGATAGCATGAAATTGCAGTTCTCCTGCTGGCTCATGTACTTTGATATATTGCTGGAGGTCGGAACACAGTATCATTCGCTACCCTATATTCAAGGTTAATGTTATCATACCCTTTGTCTTCTTGCCCTGACAAGTAGTCCACATTGTTCTATAGCCTGGAATGACTAGGATTGTGTATTTTAGACCTAAAAGGATCAAATCACTTTATAAGGGAGATGAAGATGGGAGGTCAAAACACTAAAACTAACATGCTGCAGGCAAGTAAATGTACATGGCTACTTTCCAAGACTTTGAGAAGAAACCTGTGCTTCAGGAGGGATCAAAACATGGGTGTTTTAAAATTATTTTTTGTAAAAACTAAAACTCTACTGATTATGAAAATGGTTTCTTTTCTTAATATTTTGCCACAGAAAATTTGAAAAGGCAAAGCCTGGGCTCTGTTTAATCGTTCCTGTCACTTTGTCAATGTCAGTGGTGCACACCAATGGGATTTCCCATATTCCCAGAAATAGAAAAGTTGGTCACAGAGAAGCAAACAGAATTATTTAGTTTTTAATAACAGTGGGAAAACTGATAGCAAATTAACAGCATAGGCTTGGAAAACTGCTGAGAGTTTAAAAGAAAAAAAAATGGGGTTCTTTGCATCCCATATTAACTGTAATAGGACAGTGATGAATCAAATCAAATATTTCTTTGCCAAGGATGACTTCTTACCCTATAATTGGTTTCACAAGATTAATAACTTTGTGTCTATCTGCAAGTTAAATTATTATCAAGGGAAATTTATTGAAAATTGAATGGATATGGTCTCAGGGGAAAGTGAATGTTTAAAATTAGCAGTTTTAATATCTCTAAATAAATAATAAAAAAAACCAACATTTAAATTATGTCAGTGTTTAAAATTATAAAATGGAAATAAATTGAAATTGTCTCTTCATCAAAAGATTAATGATACTGTTCCTCTGCTGATGTAAGCCTAAATTGCTTCTGACCAAATATGCATTTCATAAAAATACGAATGTCATGCAAAATATCAATGAAACTTTTGCTGTAATAGTTCTGTAATGGTGGACTACATAGACCCAGCTTACAGTAAGGTGAAAATCTGTGTCCTCACAACAAAGGCAAAACCAGGCTTATGGTTAGTGGGTGGTATAATTGATCATCCTCACACTGCTAGGCTATGAGGGCAACAATGTATGACAAAACAGATGCTGGATTATGGAAGAACAGAGATAAAGCACAAGTAGACAAGCAAACTTGGAATGATTTAGAGTAGAGAGAAGGATGCATAAGACCAGTTTTGCAGGTAAAATACAGTAATATAGCAGTACTCTGGATAATATTTTGTATAGTGGAATAAATCTTGCCTGTTTCTGTCAGGCCAAAAGGATACTGATAGGTAAAATGATATTCAGAGCTGAAAAACTACTTGGAAAACACAGGGATCTCTGGTGGTCTTTTTCCTTCTGATCATTATGCTCTCTAATAAATTCTCAAGGACCCATTTAAACTACAGGCATATTGCAGTAAGGAAGATAGAATTTCCTTGTATATTTTATGTTAAAAATACTTTGTTTTGAGTGCTTTTGTATGTACTCTACTAGAGCAAATGAGATTACCTCTACATCCAAGGTCATAGTCTTTGGAACTTGGGGGTGTTCATATATCCATAACATCATGTGGGCAAAACCGGACAGAGAGAGACTGCTCCAGCCTTTTTTCCTCCCTCCAAGAACCAGAGTATTTCTCCATTCATAGTAGTGAATGAATATTGTTTTTAAGGAAAAGAATTACTTTTAGTTTTTCCAAAGACTTCTTATTAAAGACAAGTAGCACTTCATGCGCATACATACAGTTTAAAAATGCTCAGTGAGTTACAAAAAATTATCCGGACCGACAACTTGAACTGTAAGGCTATTGCAAAATGATCTCCCATGTTGCTGCAGGCACAGACAGCTTCCAAATTAGGACAGGATGCCTATCCTTGTACCACATTAATTTGTTTGGCAAAGCGGAAAAACAGTGACAGCCTGTGGTTTAAAAAAAACTGAGTCACAAACCTCTGAATAATAGGTTTTTTATTAGAAATGGCAGTTCAGCTAGGAACTGCTGAAAGAAACAGTAATGATGATGGAAAGTGTGTTTGCATTATGTACTGAAACCTTAAAAGCAGTGTGCTGCAGACATTAGCAGAAAGTTTTTCTAACTCTTACAGTTTTGCTTAAATCCAAGAGTATAATCAAGTACTAATTGCTTTCCTTTAGATTCAACAATTGGAGTTACTAGCATTCTTAACAGTTTTGCATTTGCTTTAAACAGACACTTGCAGCTCGAAAATCTGGCATTTCCATGGCCATGCTCATCCGAACCTCCATAAACAATGATGAAATGGTAAGTGTTTTCAATGGCAGATTTAAGTCATTTAAAGAATGGAGAAGTGTTTTTTCAAAGCTCTTTAGAAAGTATTTCAGCCTCAGATGCTCCAAACTGGATAAAACTGGGTGTACAAATATTCTGCTTGTTGTGTAGGGACTTTTGAGGATCTTGAGCAGAATTTGCTGCCTGATCCACAGTGACAAGACCAGGTTTGCTTCTGCTGACTCACATCCATGACAGTCAGAAGAGACTAAGCAAGAAACCTTTGTTCTGCAAAATAATTACTTAGGGAAACCTTTTGTTTTAAGTTGTCTAGCTGCACCATGCTTTACCTTCAGTCTTTCAGCATCTGTCTCTCTCCATCACACCAGGAGTGTAAATAGAATGACAGGACTCTGCAAGAAGGTTTTTGTGTCATTATTTTCCTGTCCTTATAGGTGGCTTGGGACATTATCTGATTTTTGTAAATGTAACTCCTGCTTAATAGCACAAGTGATTCTAGATGAAGAAATATTTGATACACAAAGTGAGCAGGAAAATCTTCTGAAAAATCATATTCTTATAGCTGCATGTTGTGGTTTTCCGTTATTGACATGACTTACATTTTGCAAAAGAAATTTATTTTAAACAAAAACACAACAGTTGCCATTTTCTTCAGGAACATTTAGTGCGATACAAGCAGATTTACGTGGTGCAACTAAGCAAAAGCACTAATTTGAAGGAATAAAGGCCCCTTCTGTGTTCCTTAAATTACTAGTGCAAACATAGCCTTCTAGAATATACCCTACATAAAAAAAAAAGCCAAACAAATCAAATATCGAATTTTTCTTACACTGTTCTTAAGCTCCATAGTATAAGAATGGAAGTGTTTCTAAGTTCCTGTAGGAAGTATTTAAGTATTCAGTAGTGGTTTGTTAGGTAGTTACTTAAAATGCATCACTGAATGGAACACCAATGATTTTTTAAATTTCTGCTTTAAAATATAAAAAATATATAGGACTGTGTGTTAATTGACTGACCTGATTCCAGCTTAACTCCCCTGTTGCTGTAATCAGTCAAGTGGTTATACAGGGTTCTTTTGTCTTCAAAGATCAAGGCAAAATGAATCAGTGAATCAGTATTTTGCAAATTAGTTCATACTGCTATGTATATTCTGATATTTTGTAACATTGTAAGTGCAACAACATATACTTTAGCTCCAGTTCACTTGTGTTGAACAATACTTCAACTGAAGTCTTGATGGTTTTTTTTTTTCTTACCCAACAGAAAATACATGTTTTTAAGAAGACTTTGCAGGCTTTGATCTATCCGATATCATCAACTACACCTCATAACTTTGAAGTTTGGACGGCTACAACTCCCACATATTGTTATGAATGTGAAGGTTTACTGTGGGGCATAGCCCGACAAGGCATGAGATGCACTGAATGTGGTGTCAAATGCCATGAGAAGTGCCAAGACCTCCTAAATGCTGACTGTTTGCAGAGTGAGTATTTCCTGACAGCTAAAGCTTGACAACACCTTTTGATTTTGTGCATACACTCAGATATTTCCTGAAATGAAGGCCCAGATCATCAGAAATCAGTGAAAACCTGTTGGTGTTCACTGTCTGAGGAGCTAGCCAGAAACTTTATTAAATACCTATTGTTAATTTTGCCTTTGTCCTTGGAACTTGCCAAATGTTGCTGATCAGTTACAAAATAATGTTTAATAGCATCAGTGTATTATTTACTTTCCCTTGCCTATGGCAACATCCAAAGCAATTTCTTATGTGGTATAAATTGGTTTTGTTTTATTTAACTTAGAACACAAAAGATGTCAAAGCAAAGATTAACAAGAAAATGCCTAATACTTGTTGTGGTCATATTAATATTCTATAAAATAGACAAAAATATGAAACAGTAAACAGGATCTTGTCCCTACAAAATGCCAAGCCATACATGTGTAAGGAAAAAAAATATTAGTCAGAAATTCCTTTGGGACTAGAATTAAGGTGAAACAACCTTTTTCTTTGTTTTTTTCCTTGGCCAAACTAATTCCAGCCACCATGCATTCTCCTCCAAAAATACCAGAGGTGCTTTTAAACCATACTTAAATTACAACACAATTACTAATAAGATTCTAAACAATAAAAAAATACCTGTAAACCTTGATTCTAGCTTCTACATGTAGGCAAAGTATATAGATATTCCAGTCAGGTCTTCTTTTTCCCCCACTGTTTTCTCTATGTGAGGAGCTGTCACAAGGGATAGAATCTTAAGATTCATATTTTCAGGAACTAATCACAATTTCCTAGAGCAACTGACCCCATGGAGCATAAATCAATGACAAATTTCTAAATCAAACTGCTTAATTGTGATTCTACGCTGTGGTTGAAAATGGGCTGTTTGACAGATAAGCTTTTGACATAGTTTCGCAAATGAGAAAAGAATGTTTGCTTTGAAAATCAAATAGCATGAAGTTATATTGTGCAGCAGTAATATGATTGTTGGCGGTGTGCTTTCAGAAGTGTATAAAGTAAAGGAGATACTTGTGAGTAGATTCTTCAGTAAGTACAAATAACTCCTTTACGGGGACAGTAACAAAAGAAGATATGCTTTCATAATGTCAGCTCCTGTTCACTCTTATTGACTAATTGTCCTGTGTCATTCTAGGTACATTTTAAGACTAGCTAAAAATAATGAATTACACCTCAGCCCATCGATCACTCTGTTTCAGATGGTCATTTGACATCCTAGTTTTGCTGGGAATCACTTGGCTTACATTAATTACCTGGACTTAGAGGCATGAAAGTGAATTAAAAGAATGATGAGCTTGTACTTCTGCTGGCAACAGGATATGTTCATGTTGCTTGCCAACTTAACTGCTCATTAGGTTGATGGAGAAAGTAGGAAGTAGAAATAGCTTTCCTAAATCTATTCTCTCCCTTTATGCGTGTCTTGTTTAGCACTGTTTGTGTGCTGGGGGGAAGAAAATCTGGAAGAGGGGCTCGAATTGATTCTGATATTCTGAAAATGGAATGTAGGATTCATCTTGTAGGAGGCCCTCCTCAAAACAAATCTGTATGGATCCTGGTGGATCTAATTGAAGCTGATTCTTTGCATATTCTTAAGGAATTGGGCTATTGTTGGATTTAGAGCTACTTTGCTAGGACTCTTCTCTGCTGCTCCCTGAAAATCCTGATTGTGTTCTCTGGCAGAGAGATGACTGTCATGTGTTCTGTATAGTGTTGGGGGAGTTCATCCATCATAACTACATACATAATGATCTAGAAAAAAAAGCATAGATGAAGCCTTCCCCATCAGAAGGTGACACTTTCTTTCTGAGGATTTAACAGAATGTGTATCATGTTCTAATGCATTGTTTCAGAAATGGTTTTAATTTAAGAAAATCAAGATTGTCTCCATGACAGAGACACACCCAAGACATCTTGATTTAACAGCAGTGTAAAGATCAAATGGTTATGAGCATTATAACCACGCCTTTCTGTTTGGAGGAACCTCTCTGTTGCTGTTAGTTGAATTCTCCTCTCGCCAAACTTATGCAAAAACCCTCCTCTGTTCCACCAGAATTCCCAACCTAGTTATTGCATGCCGTTCAGTCCCTTTCTCTGTTACATTAGAGGGAGCTGGGAGGTTTTTTGTGTTGGAAGTTTGATATGGAAAGAGTACGTTTTTTCTGTCTCATGGATCAACTGTCCTGTAGTGCAGCCTACCAAGTACACCACAACACAGATCAGTGGTGTGTTCTAAAGAGACACCTCACCTCTAATCACCTCTGATTTTAATAATGTTTAGATCTGACCTTTGGGATTTCAATTCATTTTTATCAGGGGAAACATCAGCTAAGTCTTTGTCTTCTCGTTCCTCCAGAAGTTTGCAGCGTGACAAAGGAAAACCTCCTGAGATACCTCTGGAAGCTAGCATATATAAAGTATAGCATTTTAAACAAGAAAAACAAGACCCAAGATCATGTCCATGACAATATCAGTGTTACGAGTTTCTTGCAATCCTCTTCTAGTTTGTGATTCCTCATAATAAAGGTTAGAGAGATTCTGAGGCTTCTTAAAAGTGATGAAATCTCTTGTCTCTACACACTGGGAAGCAACACTCAAGCCAGCTAGGCTTTTGTATTTCTTTTTGCATGACCTCCAATTTGGTCACAGTTCAGTTCCTTCTGAACAAGAGTCAGGGAACAGATTCCAAGTGTTTGTTGCCATGCCTTCACGAAGGAGCTGAGCAGTTATTACCACTCAAAATTAGTAATCCTTTCCCTGTGTAGTGAAACACCACTACCTGATATGTACATGCTGACTATGCTTTTTCCTGTAGCACCCTTCCAGCTGTCAAAGAAATAAGCTGCTGCTGACTTTAAGAGCTGAGCTCCTTTCAGGGTGCCACATCCATGCAGGTGGCACGAGAGATGTATCCATCCCTGTAGTGGTTGAATCTTGGCTAAAACTGAAAAGCTACAAAAGACATATGGAGTAAAAGTATCGTTTTTATCTGAAGAAAAACACAACACAGAGGTTCCCTGACCCATACTGCCAGCGTGAAAAACAACCCAACAAATGGTTCAGAGCACTGTATTGCCTTTGAAGAATTTTTTACAAATTTATAAATTATAAAGTTGAGAGAGAACCTGCAAAAAATAAATAAGATTGGCAGTCACCTCTGGTGTAAAGAGTTTGGAAACATTGAACAGCTGAGTCTTGAAAGAGTAAACTTCAAGATGGCAAACTACAGATAAAAAAATAAATATTTAACATGCCTAACAGATCCCAAATTTCCCATTAGTATCCAATGTTTTTTGAGCATCCTGTCCTATTTTTTGCAAAAGATTAATTGTTCAGGGAGTCTGAATGTTATACTACTTTGAAAATGAGGTTCATACTTTGTTTCATTTATATTGAAAATATTTAAGGTTCTACTGAAAAAATTAATTGACCCGTGGAGCTGGTTAAATGTCTCTTTCTAGGAAAGCTGATGCCAACTGTATCATAAGGTGAAAATGTGGTTCACTGCAGTTGTTTTTATCACAGTTATCTTGTGGCTATCTCATAATCACTAGGACATATTGGCCTCCAAGCTTCTGTGATTTTTTTTTTTTTTGGGGGGGGGGGGGGGATTGCTAATGTACACTGTAGAAATGAATTAACATCTCAAGCTCTTTAAGGTCAATATCTAAGTTTGTTCTAAATTAGGTTTTAAAAAAATCAGTAATACTTTCATTAGACCTCTCATCTTCAGCAAGGTATCCCTTTCTAGTAGTAGGCGCAATATAAGATCGGAATTGATTTCAATCGTGTTGAATTTGTATCAGTCCCTAGGTTAAAAGAGGCTTGTTAAATTCCTGTGCAAAACAAGTTACGATATTGTCATAATTAGTCTGATCGATACTGCATGAAAAGAGCTGCTGATAGACTGTCAGCAACAGAGGATGTAAAATACTTGCAATAAATAATTTAGTATAAACAGAAGGATATGCTGATTTTTCAGTAAATCTGTCAGGAAGTTGCATTTTAACTCGTATTCCAATTTTGTCTGTACTTTCTGAAGAATCAGCAAGGATTTCAGTTTTGGAATGTGTTACTGCCGTTCAGATTGTGTCCTGGTTTATCATTTGGTTGTGATGCTGTATCTGTACTTTTAAAAGAAGGTCAGAAGATAAGAGAAAATGAAAACTCTTGCTTTCCTGCATCTTGCAAGAACTACCTGTCATGTTTTCCAGGCAGCTCAGCAATCACCTGTTCTGTGATAAGATCACTAGAGAATTCTTTAACTGGTGTTTAGGTTTATGGTAGCATCTAATTATTTTTCTACTTATTCCTAATTTTTCAGTGTAGAAAATCATTAATCACTAGAACTTTGGTCTTCCCTATTAAAAAATATCAGGTACTCAGACCACGAGATTTTCAGGATTTCTCAAGATTTAGTAGCCATGAAAAACACCTTGAAGAAGCCATATATGATTCAGCCTTTTGACAATCTGAATTTCCTGGTATTTGGTATCTTATCTGGCAGTTTCCAATCTTACACCACTGTGTCTTCCTAAATTACTATATATATGTATCTTTTCCATCCTCTGGTGTGCCAAGAAACATTTAGACACAATGAAAACAGTAAAGAAAACAAAGCATGAAATATTTGTTCTGTAAGACTGCAATCTTATGCTGAAAGATTACCTTTTCCAGCTCTATAGAACTGTTGATAATTTCTTCTTTAGACATTGCAATCTGAGAGTGTCTCATCAAAAAAAATGCTGTCAAAAGAACATAATGGTGTTTGATGGTATTGTAGAGAAGGAACAAGGTTTCTCCTCAGTATTGAATATCTGCATTCTAATTGCATAGCAAATTGTTCAACATAGTTAATTTTACTCTCCATTTAAAGGGAACAATAATAATTTGATCTTCCCAGAAGCTAATTGGATGATGTTTTCATGACTTTTTACCATTGGGAGGGTAAAAGACTTAGAGCTGCTAGTGATCTTGATGATAATGATTGACATACTCGGTGCCTTGAGTCCTTGAATAGTGCTTAGCAATGTGAGATAAAATTTACAAATACCTATAACAAAAGGTAGTTTGTCAAAATTTGCAATATCCCTGCATCTTGCTTTTATGTGTCAGTCTTGCCAAGAGTTGAAATAGCCTGTTCAGCACAGCAGGGGTTTAAATTTTTGCTTCCAACTTTTGAAATACCATTCTGACCACACAAGTCTGATGTTTCTTTCCTCACACCCAGCTGTAAGGTGGGCATTTACTTGTTTCAAGAATACACTTAAGTTATTCTAATGCAATATATGTTTTAGAGACATTGATCAGAAACACTTTCCTGTGACAGAAAAGGGATATTTTATAAGGAGAACTTCACTTTGGCTTTTAAAAGTGAGAACTCTGAGATCAGTTATGATTTTTAGAGAGAGAAAGCTCTCCAGAGCTTTCCTTGGAAGACCTGCCAATAAAAAGTGTAACAGCATGGTCTCCTTACACCCTTCCTTTTTTTTTTTTTAACCAGTAAAAGCTGTGGTGGTTTTGATGTCCCAGACAAATCAGAAAATCACCTTAGTACTTTCTTTGTTTTCCAGAATTATTTAATAGGATAGACCTGATATACCACTGTAGGTTATACAGTCTAGAAGTTATTCTCACATAGATAGTATCCTTTCATCTCTTATATTATCCTCATATATTTGCTGAAATTGTCAATAATGGCAGTGTTACTGGAGAGAGGAACCTGTCTGTTCCATACCTGTGATATATTATTTTTTGGGTAGTCATTCAAGAAGAGTTTTGTAAAAGGCCTTAAAGTTTAATACTGCACAAGCAGAGGTGTGGTGTGTAAAGATTGATTTTTAATAGCACAGTTTAATGTCTACCCATCAATTTTCTTCCTTTTATTTTTCTCTTCTTTTTTTCCCCCTTTTTTTTTTCCAACGCTGGCATTTGCTAGTACTGTGACAAGTATGTGTGCTCTCATGTTACTCTGTGGGTGAGTTATGGATCATTGCTAAAGTATCAGTGAAAGAGAGCAAGTGTTGCCGAATCTCAGAACTGACCCTGCAATATCTCTGGGTGGTCGTTAGGTTTCCATCTGCATGACACGAGCTTTTGTAGCAACGCAATATGTTTCTTTCTTGAAAACTTATTAGTTTTAGTTAGAAGGTTCCCTAATTTCAACTGCCATGTTGTTTACTTTTTTCTATTTTGTAAGTGGAAGGACTACAATCGTCTCCCTTGAATCCTGTTCCTGGCCTGCAGCTCTTCAGAGCAGGGTAACGCAGGTTCACATCACTTTTAGTACAGTGAAATTGCAGAATTAGATTTCATAAGATTCTTTGTCCCCATCGCATTTCTTTGCCTCTACTAAACACAGTATTCCTTGCAGAAGTTCCCTGGGTGGTTCTAGTGTTAGAATTCTGGGAAAAGTATTCCCTTTAATCTGTTCAGCTGCAGCCTGAGTATAATGTCTTGTCTACTCTTTGGGAGACAGGGCGTGGAAGAGTGCCTTAGATAACCAGCAGGAGATTGCACTGTGAGCATCAAGCTTTGTGAAGCACTCCTGTGTTCGCACCTGATGTTTAAAGAAGGGATGGAGTGTGCTACTGGTCGGAGTGAGGATGTCAAGTCAGTGTTGCAAAACTGTTTGACAGTGAGGGTAGTCCCAAACTAATCTAAATGCTTAAATCCAGTGAATGCTTATGTTCAGTAGATTGTGAATGCTTCATTAAATGGATTTATGTGATAATTAACTTTTCTTTTTAATGAACACTGTTCCAGGCAGGAGTGAAAACTTTTCCATGAGTGCAGGCGGCATCAGCAAATATTGAGATGTATCTGGAAGCAATCAAGAAAGCATCTGAAGCTGCCATGTCTATTTCTTTCTACTAATTCATTACGTTTCCACTGTGGGAGAGCATAGCAGGACTCTAGATTAATCTTTTTACTGTCAAACTAAAAATTATCTGAAAAACGAGATGGAAACATTACCTGGTTTAAATAGTGTTTCTATTTTTTTCTTTCTTTTTTTTTTTCTCCTAATGAAGCAAATATGGTTTCTTTTGCCATCCTACTCTAAAAGAAGAGAAAAAGGAATGAAAATATTGTCATACCATGCTGACTCAGGAAAAAAAATATTTGAAGAATTATTAGAATTATTCATATACGCATTATTAAAGTTTAGCTAGTAACAGAAGCAAAGGACAGAGCAGACAGCTACGGCACAACTCACACCTTTCTGGAAGAATCAGCATGGCTAACTACATAAGAAAAGTTATTTGCACGTTCAGATGTTTTTCATGGTACTGATCAGTACTGAGTCAATAAATATTTCCAGGTATAACACATACCTGATTTGAAGTTACATATTAAGTTGTCATGTTAAACTAAATCAATTTATAGTTTTAGGTATCATAAAGAGTAAATATAAGAGATTTTATATTATCCAGATGAAATACACGTCTCCTTTGAGTACTGTAGGACCAAGAATTGGCCGGAGACTTTAGGGGAGAAAAAGAAGTAAGATAGCAACTTTTTAATCAAATTATTGACCTTTCATTTCAGGAGCTGCTGAGAAAAGTTCCAAACATGGTGCAGAAGATAAAACACAGAATATTATCAGTGCTATGAAGGAAAGAATGAAGATCAGAGAGAAAAATAGACCCGAGGTGTTTGAAGTGATCCAGGAAATGTTTAATATTTCCAGAGAAGATTTTGTACAATATACAAAAGCAGCAAAGCAAAGTGTTTTGGATGGAACATCCAAATGGTCAGCAAAAATAACCATTACAGGTACATTTTCTTCTGAACTGTTTGCTCTAAGAGCTCTTTCTTTCCTAGTCCCTTGGTGTGGGAATAAGAATTATTATAATCAGAGCTGGAACTATGTGTTTAACTGCATATTTGGTGCACCTATAAATGGTTGAATTTATAGCTTGCTAACTGAAAAATTTCAGTTTACAGTTGTTGGCAAAAGTACTTTATATTCTACTGTTCTAGGAAGGAAGAGAAGGAAATGGTCTTCTTGTGTCTCTTCTACCTCCTAACAGTATCTCCTGGGCTACTGCTTAATTTTTTGCCACCGATTGCAGGAGTTAAAGATGTGTTTATGATTTTTTTAAATGACTGTGATGCTAAGAACACTGTAGCTTGCAATTCCTGACCCCATTAGTTTGAACCTTGTTATCCATTCTTGCTCCTTGATTTAAGGTGTGTTCCAGTTTAGTTATGCTGAGCCAGGGAAACCTGAACACAGAACATACTCAAGATTTTTTGCAACTGCATTAGTCTGGTTGCTTATGAAGATATCCAGGTCCTCTGACTTTGACATTTCAGCTTTGGAATAAAACCTCAGCACAGAAAATCTAAATAAAAGCTCAGCTGACTATACAGGTCAACCTGACTTTGTGATAGTGGATTAGAGACTAAACTAAAAGACCAAAGAATTGAAAGGCAGTGATGTAAAACATTAAAAGGCTCTGGTTAGATTTCACATCTGAATTAGCCTCAATTTCATTTTAATGTCATAAAAGCTAGTAAGTCCTCTTCTGCTATTAAAAGAAAATTAAATATTTTCTTTCTCCAGGAGCTGCATTATTTTTCTTTTGGAGGATAGAGCGATAAACTTTAGGAACTTACTTTTAGCATTTACTAGTAAGTTTTGCTAAAACTGAGTGAAACAAAAGCTATATTTTTAAAATAATTAACATTGTATACCATTAGTTTGCAAGAACAACAGGTTGACATCAGGCAAGATGAAAATATACTAGCTGAATTTCAACATAAACCTTTGTGTAATTGGTGGATGTGATGGAAAAATGAGTGTAGGGATTTAGCAAATACAGCCAGTGATGTGCTTGTTCCATTAGGATATATGTATCTTTGAGGCATCTTTTTCAGCTGTGGCAGCCATTGAAACTGGACTTAGATTTTCACATCGCCGTATCACAAAGTGTTAAAAAAATATTTTCAAGAGCTATAGAGCATATTCAATCACATTGCTCTCACTAAAAGTGCTACTATTTGGAGTATTTTTTGGAGAGCCGAAAGGGGTTTTGTGACATTAATAAATTTTTAAAAATATTTTTAATATATTATTTCATCTTTATCTTAGTTTTTAAATTTCTTGGTTTCTGTATGTTTTATAATGTACATAATATAGTAGTACAGTGGTACATATATATAATTTGTAAATAAATAAATGTATTTGGGTTGAATCCTCGAAAATTTTACTATAATACTCTCTGTTTTCATGACAATTTTTTTTATATATCAAGGAGGGGTTATTGGAAATTGCCATTTCCTGTGCTGAGTTATAAAGCTGCCATTCATTTACAGTAAATGGGGAAGACAAAATATGTTCTACCTCATTCCTAAGAGTTATTTTTTTTCAGGAAGTAGATACATAAATACAGTAAGGGAAACTTACTTTTTCACTGAGGTCAGCAGATGTGAATGAACCCACACTGGGAGCTGATCTGCTGAGTAAGAACTTGCCAGTTTTATGTAATCATTTTTCTGAGCACACTGAGGGAGCTTCATTATCCAAATTGATTGACATTAGAGAATGTTAACTAACTGTTACCACTGAGATGGTTTAAATAATATGTGCAAAATAATAAAAACCCAGCTCTGCTGCTGCTAGAAGCTATGGCAGGTCTTTTAGCTGCAGCTCTCTGGATTTGGTCGTCTGCTGTTTGACAGCTTTGTTTCCTCCTGAGATTTCCAATTTTATGAATTACAATGGAGTATTTATATTTGCCACAAAATGCATATACATTAACTCTGCAGCCACTTTAACTGTCAGAAAAACTGACAAATGCATAAACAGTGAGTGATAATTGAACTGTCACCCTGTCTGTGGTAGAATATGAAGTATTCAGAAAATCCTCATGGTTCACCTCTCACATGAGGAAAAGAAATGCCTTTCATGTAGCTTCATAAGCCACAGTGCAGATCTTTGAAAATCAGAAGTTTTATTTTGGAAAATTTATTTTGAATCTTCAGAGAAATTTTAGAAACATTTATTAATTTATTTATTGGAGGGCGGTGATGGACATTTTAGGGAATTATTAGACTCAAGACAAGTTATACAACAGCATCATATTACCTGCCATGCTGATTAATCCAAAGTTTGAGAAGAGTATCTGAATTGTGCATGGCGAGACAAGTATTTGGTTTGTGCTCTGTCATGGATCTTTGCATTTATTCCTCTATTAAACTATATTTGTAATTTTTACACCATCCAGAAGGGTACTTAGGCAAGGCTTGTCTGTCTCCAGAGTAACAGAGGCTGGGAGAATTCCCCTGGAAAGCTTAGTTTCAGGAGCCCTCAGTTGCAGGGTTTTGTTTCCTGTTGCTGTTGTGACTGTCTCACTTATTTCATGGCAATGAAGGCTATGAGGTCTAAAGCATATTTCTCTCCCTTTGTTGCAGTTCTTTGTGCTCAGGGCTTACAAGCGAAGGACAAAACTGGCTCGAGTGACCCATACGTTACTGTGCAAGTTGGCAAAACCAAGAGGAGAACAAAGACTATTTTTGGAAACTTGAATCCAGTGTGGGATGAAAAATTCTATTTGTAAGTATAGAGGATGCTCTTGTTTCTTGCTTTTTAAATTACATTTAGGTAATATAATACTACCAAGTAAAATAATTACTTAATTTGAAAATATTTTTTTTCTATGCTATGCATATTCATCACATTACTAAATTAGCAAGTTCTGGATGGAGACAGCATAGTTTATTGTCACTTTATGGTGTAATAATCATACAGCTCATAATTATGTCTTTTGGGGGATCTGTTGGTGGTGTCTATTTATTCACATTTTTTAGGGAACTTAAGTAACATTTTCCAGACTTCGAGCTTATGTACCAAATATTGGCGCTATAAATGCCTTCTTATGTCTCAGATACTGACCATGCAAGTTAAATTCAACTTTTATTCAACTATTACAAATGTCCAAGGTGAAAATAAGGAATGTGATAGTAAGTGGTGTGCTTCTGGCTCTGAGCGGGGCTTTTTGTAAAGTTCGTCCTTCCCCAGACCAAATGTTGTCCAGAAGTCTGATGTGGGGAGGTTGGTAGAATGGTACAATCCTCTTGTCTCCTTTCTTTGGCCACAGCCTGTGAGCTGCGTATGGTGTAGTTTGTTGTGAGCATATCACAAAAGTTCAGCCCTGACTGCAAAGTAGATGTTTCAGTCTGCAGTTTGTTGACTGAGGTTTGAATATGATTTCATGCCAGTTCTGGTTCTGGCAATGTTCCTACAACTTCTTTCAGAAAGACATGTTACAGTACAGGAAATTCCAATTCACAGATACTCTACTGTTCCTTTCCTGAAAATATTGCCTTAGGATACACACGTTCCTGACTGAGAATGTGACCAATCTGATAACAGTGTGGATTTGCTCACTGTTATTCCTCTACATGTAGCAAAAGTATTTCAGCATTTATTCTTTTCTCAGCTTGATTACTACGTACCGCAGTATATGACATGCCCTTAACTACTATTGTTAAAGTCATTTAAGGATTCTGAACAGCTAATATAAACCCCTAAGTTTTCCTTGGAAAATTTTAAGTGAGAACTGGGGTTTTTTTGGCAGATTTCTTTTAATTGTTCAGAAAAGTGCCAGTCTACCCTGAAAACACCTACCACAAAACTATCATATGAAGTTAGTAGGTATTTTATGGAAGGTGTGTGAAAACACTGCTATAGGAAATTGTGAAAAAAAAAAAAAAAGAAATTATAGTAATAAAAAAGGATATACAACTTTAATGTTAGTTAAATACTTCTATTTGCATTTTTACTGAGAATACATGCAACCTGTTGACCACATAACATTCTAATATTTTGGTGCTACATTATAAAAGTCTTATGGTTAGTGCTATTCAAAACTGGATGCTAATTTGATACAACTTGATGAAACCCTGTATCAGTGATGGCAACAATGATGTGTCATTTTTATAAGCAACGCTGAGTTTACGAAGCAGCAGCAGAACAGCTCAGGATCTTGCAGACTGCCCAGCCAAGAGTCAGAATCTCTGGTTAGTCACCATGTGCAACAGAAAATTTCAAAGGAACCACTCACCACAATGTAAAGTCTTTGTCTTCAGATTATAACATTGTTTAGTTTCTTCTTACATCCTTTTCCTCCTATAAGGAAGATGTCAGTTGTCATTATTCCTATCTATGGAAACAATTTATGTTAGGGTTAAGGCATTTGAAATAAAGCTTTGTTTTCTTCAAGAAGGTACAGTGTCATAACATGAGAGTTTGACCTTCTCATCCTGTAGCACAACAGGTATTTTCCCTTCCCTGTTTTTGACTAAAATCTGCTATTTTATTGTTGAGGAGGTTACCATTTCAACTAGTCAATTTGAAAGACGTATGACCCAAGATGCTGCTTCTATTTGCCTGGAAAAGATACTGGTTAATCCAGCTATATTAAGCAATATATGCCCATTACTTTCATGGATTCAAAAGCCAGTACTAGAAATGAATAGCTAATTCAGAGAAATCACATACTCAAACTTTTTCCAGGCTTCCCTCGTACAGATCATGGGTTTGATTTATTTATGTTACTCCAGTAACAGCTGAAGTGTCATTGAATGACTGTGAGTAACCAAAGATAGGAGATTCCTTACTTTATTGCATTTATTGTATGAGTAGCATAGTGTCAAAAGCAGTGTGAGCAGCTCAGCAAATTTTGTATGAAGCCTTAAATGTATATCCTGTCAGATGTGAGCAGAGCTACCATGAAATCTCTGGAAACTTAAAAATATTATATATTTTTTTCCCCCAACACTAAGTATTACTATCATCTGCTGCCCTAGCAATAACATGAATAAAAACACCCCAAACCTTAATATAGCATAAATCTCCTGAGAAACTACTTTGAACTGAATACACTTTCAATCATTTTTATAGCATTTGTACTTTCTAAAATAAAGTTGTCTCCTGGAGTTATTTAATGGATTGGATTTCAATTGAAAGTATATGAGAATTTCTAAAGTTTATTAAATAAACGATAAATGTTTAACTACAAGATTAAATCTAAAGTAGATCAATATAACTGTTTCATTGACTCAGGAAGTTTCATTTAAATTAACCTCTACTAGTGATATTTGATAGTGCTATTTAAAATCAAATACCTAGTCATCATTATAACTCCTAAATGATAAATTGCTATAACTCCTAAATGATAAATTGCAGAAATAAAATATATCTCCAAACCTTACAATCATATATTTATTTGTAATACCAAAGCATTTGTTTAAAGCTCCCCATCTGTTCCCAAACAAGGACTTGGAGAAAACATTGGCTCCCCACTGTGCATTTGGTCTGTCAAGGCAGATAGAGTGAGGGCAGGGTTCTAGTTTGCAGAATCTCACATAATTCTAATATGAGAAGCAGAGAGTGAATGTCTCCAACAATACATAGTGTAACCCTCTAGTAAATGACCATGGGATGCTGGTGCAGATTTTGACATGGGAACTCATAAACCATAACTGAAGTAGAGCTTACATACAGCTGTGTGCTTCTCAGTAAAAACCAAGACTATCAGAGGAAGAATACATCCTTCCTTGAAATGTCTTTTTTTTTTTTTTTTGTACACAAGACAAAGAAGTAAATAGGCCAGCAGATGCTCCTTTAATGACTGTAATATAGGTGGTAAGGGCTTTGATCTTTTCTGTTGGCATAATTAAGAAGGAGATAACAGAGCAGTTTTATTTTTTTCAATAGAACATCACTGCTAAGAGTTTTTTCTGTACCAGAGCAAAGGCAGCTACCTGCAGCTACCTGCCACCTTACCTCTTCTGGCTGAGTGTGGCATCTGACATGGGAAAGCCACTGCATGTTTATTTTTTCGTTACGAGGAAGAGAGATTTTGGCTGTATAGTTTTTAGCTAAAAAACATATATAAAAACTGTATGGTTTTGTACAAACATTTAGATCTATAAACTATAATCAATGTCTTCTCCATTCTTATTCTGTTCTTGGCTATTTTCAGTTGATTGCTGAAATACGGAAATCTGCTTTTTCTGGCAGCATTGTCTAGAAAGCACACATTTCCAAATTACCCTGCAGACTTTGCAGGTATCATGTTTCCTCTGAGCACTCATTAACATATAGTTGATACAGTAAGATACAGTTGTTTAATACAAAAATCTTTCCTATAAGTGGATGCTTATTTTACATTACCTGTTCTTTCGGGTTTGACTGTCACCAGAGCACCATACGGCTCTGATAAACAGGTTCATCGGACCTCTATTACTCCTTTCAGTACAACGACAACATGTGATCTAATTGATTTAAATTAGACCAGCTAGAAGGGTTTTTTTGAAGACTATGATTACCACTTGGCTGATATAGACTCTGTGTGCTAGAATTTATCTGATTTCTGATATTCTTGATGATTTCCTGGTGATATATTGAAAATATCAATGCAGGCATAAAAGCCAAGAGAAAAAAGTTTTACAATTGCTTGCAGAATAAACCCCAACTATTTGTTCAGGTAATCATACTAGGAAGAAATATCCTCTAGTATCAAACAGCACTGATGTAGAATAGAGAACAGGATAGTTAAAGTCTCTGTTTTGGTCAGAGAAGCAGTTCAATTGCTTTGTATTTCTGATAATTCAGTCCAGAGTTTCTGATGAAGCAAGTATTCTGGCAGCTATTTCAGGCATCTGGCTGTGGATGTTCTTTCCTTGGAATTACCTTAAACAGCAGCACTTGCAGTTTGTTTATACTGCAGAGAAGTTATTTGTGGATTCGTTTAAAGGAATACTTACTATAAGCAACTGTGTATAAGAAATAAATACAAGAGGACCTTACCAAAGTCCTTTACTGTTATTTTATACATTCTTGATCAACTGAACTGACTCGTAAAAAATTGTAATCTTCACTGTAGCTGAAGACATCAGAATTAGTTAACTCTTTAAATGACGTTCCAGTTTCCAGTGATATCTAAACACAGTCTTATGAGAATTGTTGAAATTGCCTAATGATTGTTTCATAAGCAAGAGTATATTAAAGAGAATTATATTACACAAAACCAAATGGGCAATAGAAACCTGCAAATTTGTTTTCTGGATTTATCTGTTCTAAAAATTCTTCAATAAGCAGCCATTTCTTTGAGAGATGTCCTACTAATTAACTGTCTCTCACAACCTCAGCACAAAGCAAGCCAGCAGAACACCTCTAAAAACAAATTCAAATTGTTTGTTCAGCAATAATTTTTTCCAGTGTCACAGTACAGCATGCTTGCTCTGAGTCTTTTTTTTTTTTTTTCAAAATGCTATCAATCCAGGTTAAATTTACACAACTCTTAGTTTTGACAGAGTAAACTAATGCAAGAAAGGGCATAATTACTCTCATCCTGCTTTATCAGAAAGCATGGCTACTTCTTCACATATGTAGTTCATGCAGCCAAGTGCCACCTTGGGTTTTATGTTGACTCATGGGATGAATATAACACTTAACAAAATATTGTCTTCCCATATCTATTCCTTTAGTTTTTGAAAGACACCTAAGTTATATGAAATGGTCTACAAATAAAGCAATATCTGTCTGAAATAATGATATGAATAATAAGTTTATCTGTGGCTAGTATCACGAAGTGATATGTATTATGTTTTCTTTACGTGCCTTAATGATTGTATGTCCAGAAAGGATTCAGATACTTTTGGAACAGGCTAAGCAGAAATAGAAGCTACCAGAAAAAGAAACTGAAAACAAAATACAGCAAAAAGCAAAGGTTGTGTACTTCAGTCCCAGTAGACCACAGTCATCCTTCAGCAAGTGCTCTTAACATAGGCAGTTTTCAGCTGAAGTAGCCCATTGAAGACTAATTAAAAGATCATCAGGTCTGTCCATCAGCAACCAGAGTGAATTCTCTGGAACTTTAACATGTCATGTTGGTTCTGGATCAGACATTTCTGGAAAGTTATGTAGGTGAATATTATTTGGAGTTTGGAAATGCTGATTGGAGAGCAGAGAGACTGTTTATACAAGAAACTTATGCTTTTGTTTTTATAACTACTCATGGGGAAAAAGTGGTTCAGGAGGACAAAAAGAAGGCCAAATACATTTTGTAAAGGAGGAATGGGCACTATGCAAATATCTTCCTTTCTACTCTCTGAGTGATTTAGTCTGTGAATCTTTATCCCAACTGTAAAATTGGAGTAAGAATAGTATAATGCTTCCCTTTCTTACGTTTCTTTGTTCTGTCACTTTTGAGGATATTTTTTAAAGGAACACAGATAACCTGGTTGTTATCTGTGGCACTGGAAAATTTCCTATTAGAGTACAAGTTCTTCAAAGCTTTTCTAATACTAGCTGTCCACTCTTGAACTAGTTTGCTGAGTGCTCAGGGAACACAAGAGCAGTTCTAAACAGATTTCTGTATCTTATTATGACAAGAAATGTTTTTCTTCAATTCTTTGCAGCTCTGATTAAAAGTAGTGTAAGTTTGATTTTTAGACTTCTTATTTGTGAAATGGTTGGTGTAAAGGTGATGTAGGAAAAAAAAGTAAGCTACAAAATGTGCAAAACAAGAAGGTAACTGGAAATGTATGGCAAGGGCTTGTTGGTCAAGTTCATTTTCTATATCTCAGGCATAGCCTAAATTGTCTGCTGATTGCTTACAGAATTGTACCAATGTAGTGTATTCTATTGGAAGTATTATTTAAATTATCGAAATAACACTTCTTTAGGGGACAACAAAGACCTCTCCACCTAGATTAACTATTCAGAGTATGCAAATGTGTTAGTGGATGTAAGAGTTTTTACTGAAGGCTACAAAGACATAACACTGTTGTGATGAATGGATTTCATTTTGATAGAGTGGGAAATTCATCTCCATACATTCTTTGCCAGCTTCTTCATTTGCATTTATTTCTTCACTGAAAGTAGCATGATACCAATTAGTTGTGATTTTAACACTGGGTGCAGATCTCTTAGATGAGGTGTACAATAAGGTCATGTCAGTGCACCTAATATTAAATTTATATGAGGTTACTATAGTAAAGATGGTTTATTATTACATTTTTTTTATTACTCCATACATTCTTTGCCAGCTTCTTCATTTGCATTTATTTCTTCACTGAAAGTAGCATGATACCAATTAGTTGTGATTTTAACACTGGGTGCAGATCTCTTAGATGAGGTGTACAATAAGGTCATGTCAGTGCACCTAATATTAAATTTATATGAGGTTACTATAGTAAAGATGGTTTATTATTACATTTTTTTTATTAACTCT